CCATCTTGCAACAAGTCCAACCAAAGCACCTTTCCTCCCAAAGCCATCTCCGTCTGCAAACCTCCTTATTACTGCCCGACAATGTGACCCTTCAAAGATGTTATACCTTAAATCCAGCCACTCTTCTGCCACTTCCCAAGGGGGGAGTAGCCCATTACTGGTACAGCTTGGACATCAATCCAGATGTCCAGATGGAGTTTCAATTACCTACTCCCACAGCTCCACATGATGTGCAACCGGAGAACCTGCTGCATTGCACTCTGTGGTTTAAAGACACTCCAGGCCCTGATCCATACTATGAAGAAGAGTTGTTCCACTTGGTGGAAATTCGCATCACACTAACAGATTTATTATATGATTCCAGAGACAACGTGGTCTCACTGGTTCACCTTCCAGTGGAAGTATCACACCTCTATCACCACTGGGAAGTGGCTGTCCCACATGTCTCATTCACCAAGTCTCCTGACCTCTCGTGGGAAGATCTGAGCCCAATGGCCAAATCCTGGAGCACCGCAACCCAAGAACAACTTGCACAGGCGGGAGTAACTAAAAAGATTATTAACACCTTGCGAACCGAACTCACTACTACATTAAACCTGCATGCGAAAAAGAAAAATAAATTCAAAAAACATACTTACTACACACAGGGAGGGAAAGGGGGGACGTTATTGGCACAAGCTTTGAGGCAGGGAAAGCAATCCACTTTCATTGAGGGCATTAAACTTCAAAATGGGACATATACCCAGAGGATACCCGAAATCCTAACAGCATTCACAGAATACTATACGGGGTTATACAACCTCCGTGAGACGCCACCAAACCCTTCGGAAATACAAAACTTCCTTAGAGGGAGAATCAAACACACACTACCAGCTAACGAGAGAATCTTCCTAGAAAGCCCCATTTCAGCAGAAGAATTCCACTACACGATTAAGTCACTCCCAATAGGGAAAAGCCCAGGCCCAGATGGCCTAACAGGGAAATACTATAAAACGTTGGCCCAAGAACTGGAACAACCCTTTCTTAAGGCCTTCAATGACAGAGACCTAAAGCACTCCATTGCCCACTCTGCATTGGTAGCGAACATAGTTTTAATACTGAAAGAGGGGAAAGACCCATCCAACTGTGGTAGCTACAGGCCCATCTCACTAATAAACATAGACATAAAGATCTTTACTAAAATCCTAGCCAACAGATTGAAACCTCTCCTTCCGGGACTAATACATGATGATCAAGCAGGCTTCATCCCAGGTAGAGAAGCCAAGAATAATACCACCAAAATTATAAATCTAATTCACTGGGCGACCACCAAAGGCAAAGACTCACCTAACGTCCTTCTAGCAATAGACGCGGAAAAGGCGTTTGATAGGGTCGATTGGTCCCTTATGCTCACCACTTTGAGGGGCTTGGGATTTGGGGAGAGGTGGGGGTCATGGCTGGAAGCTATTTACTCAACCCCAACAGCTAGACTCAAAATCAATGGGACATTGCCTCTCCCATGGCACCCGTCATCTCACCAGAAACAGAATTCATTGATCATATCCAGATGCCAAAGAGTGGTCGATATGAATATGCACTAGTCATAGTGGATATGTTCTGAGGATGGCCAGAAGCCTTTCCAGTCGCTAACCTCACAGCAAAAACCACAGCAAAG